CTAGGAGAGCTACGTTGCTATTTGGGCTTGGAGTTCTCTCGTGACCATGCAACACTCACGATCACACTCTCCCAGCCTCACATGATCCAGCAGATCCTCCAGAGGTTCGGCCTTTAGTTCTTGTCCGCACAGCCCACTCCCCTACCTGTGGACCACAAGCTCTGAGCTCAGGTTTCCAATGAGTAGGTCGAGCCCAGTGGTCCATACGCAGAGCTCGTGGGGTGCCTCATGTACCTGATGACTTGCACGTGTCCAGATCTAGCATACCCTCTTAGTATCCTTGCTCGCTTTGTTGCGACTAGGATAAACCGACCAGAGCACTGGTCAGCTGCCAAGAGGGTGTTGCAGTATCTGGTGAGTACATCAGGACTGGGGCTTTTTCTGGGAGGACGGGAGCCAATGGTTCTCACTGGACACACAGACGGGTCATGGGCTGACGATTTGGAGACACTCAGGTCCCAACAAGGCTACTACTTTAGCCTTGGTGCGGGTGCACTCTCGTGGCGGTCCACTAGGTCATCGTCTGTAGCTCAATCCAGTTGTAAGGCAGATATCTATGTTGACGCTACTGCTTACTGACTTAGGTGAGCGACCTTGGTCTGCCCCGGTCCTATTTGCTGAAAACAGGGCCATGATCCTCCTGTGTCAGGAGGCCCGACTTGAGGGCAAGGCCACGCATATCTAGCTGCGGTACTTCCCACTACGTGAGTTGCCGCAGTGCGGCCAAGCACATGTAGTACTGTTGGCCTCAGAAGCCAATGCTGCTGATATCTCCACCAAGGCCCTTGAACCGCGTAACCTTCAGCAGTTTTGTACTCAGCTTGGTCTAGTCCCAGTTGGCTCTCCCTCGCTTATATCCTGATCTGTGCTATACCGGTTTTGTATTTCCTACTCTATAACAGTTGTCTTGTTACACTTGCTGACTGGCCTTCTGGCCCTTGTCTCCGTGGTCAGACTAGTAGTGCTGCCCTGACATGTTCGCTGTACAGTGACGGAAGAAACGTTCCATATCTTGACCCTTTGAGAGGTTAAGATGCGTGTGTATTTTCCATACATACTCTTTTATACAGCTGGCTTTAATTTGCTTGTCGACTGCCTCCTAAGCAAGAAGAGCACGTGTCATGCAGCCTGAAAGGGCATGTTTATTATGCAACACCAATAACAATATCACCAAGTAGTATTCAGACACTTTTGGCCAGATTTAAAGTAAGCTATTAGTACCTTGGCCTTCACCCTCCTTGGCATACTATTAATGAGCCCCCTGCACACATCTGCCCCAATCCCATCCCATGTCTCTTGCACCCGCTCCCAAGTCTGGAGCATCCCTGTGGGAGAATGCTCATACTTGGCAAGCTCTCGTTTGAGGTGTGCCCACAAGTGCTCTATGGGGTTGAGATCAGGGGAGGAGGAAGGCCACTTTAGGACTGAATACTGCTGCTCAGACAGCCAAGCATGCACAAGGCGGCTCTTGTGCTTGGGGTCGTTGTCATGCTGGAAGATGACATCCGAGGGGGTTAGATTATAGAAATCGATGGTTTGTGCAAGCTCATCATGCAATATGCTTCTGTATAGCTTCCCATCCATGCGGCCGTCAATCTTACACATTTATCCTGGGCCATCATATGTCATGCACCCCCATACCATTAATGACCTGCCCCCATGCTTAACGGTTTGCTGCACTTGGTGACCTTGCAGGGCCGCCCCGTCGCGTATACACGCGTACTTGCGGCCATCACTAGAAAAGTGATTGATCTTGGTCTCGTCGGACCAGATTAACCGCTTCCAGTCTTCCAAAGACCAGTCAAGGTGCGCCTTGGCGAAATCGAGGCGGTCTCTGATGTTACAAGCAGAAAGACGCGGCTTCTTCGGTTTCTGCACAGCTACTAAACCAGGCTGCTTCAGGGCGTTGCGCACGGTTCTAGGGCAGATCTTGATGCCGCGCTTTGATTCTAGTAGTTTTGCGGCTTCTATGCTAGTCTTTGCATGGCCGGAAGTGACAGCTCGAACCAGTGAGCACCTATCACGTACCGAGAGCATGCACGGTCTGCCGTTCCTAGGAACAATCGACCTGACCGCTAGGCTGCTCATGCGCTGGGCGGCTTCGTGAGCGTATTTCTGGATCGTGCTCTTCCCTATCCCTAATGCCCTTGCGATTTGTCGGAAACTCCGACCCTGTCGAAGCAGGGTCACGATCCTATCTTTCTGGCTTGAAAGAAGCAGTCGCATCATCGCTAGGAGCTTGGCATAGTTGCCGCTGTACTATCGAGAGAACAAAAAAAAACTTAGGTTGCGAGATCGCGAAATGCAGACAGGAAATAGACCTGGACTCGAAGTTGGCCTAAAGTGTCCGCATCGAGTGACAGCAATATATTACTGTACTCTTTACAAGAGATTCAATTTAAATTACAACACTCAACTGCATTAACCAGCTAAGGTTAAGAGTCACACTATGAGGGTACGACCCCGTTACACCACTGGTTCCTTTCCCTATTTCCTTTCTATTCCATTCCTCTTTTTATCTCATCTCATTTGGTTTCCCATTCTCTATTTTCCATTATCCTTTGGTTTATCCTGTTATTATCATTATATCACCGACCAGGCTCGGGATGTACTGGTACGCTATATCTAGCGTAATCCTGCAGTAATCCCTTAAAGCCAATAGCCTCGCGTGGCTATACGCAGGGTGATTCTATTTTCTAGAAGGGTCTATTCTCTTAGGATAGGATAAACCTGGTTACCTGATGTACTTTGGAATTATAAAAGCGCCTTGTATCAATCGATAAAGGAACCTTTCCTCGACACATTCGATCCTGTAACACTTGGTAATCAAAGCTTTTCTCACTCGGCCGCGCTCAGCTAAGTAGCAGCAGCGGGACTCCTGCCTCGAAAAACCGCCAGGGGCGACGAATTCGACGCCGATTCTGGTAAGCACCAGCTTCGCGTTTTTTCGAATTACCCCCTCCGCGCGTGTTTTGAACAGGATGGCGAACTTCAACAACGCCGAAGTTACCCAGCAGCTCTTCGCAAGCATCGCCGCCCTACAGGAGGAGATGCGAGTCGACCGCGAAGCTTGGCGACAAGCGTTCGAGCGAGTAACTCGACTCGCCGGCGCGCAACACGAAACGACAACGGCGACGACGCAGCAGTCGCAGCAATTTCTCGAGGCTCCAAAACCGCGCCCATCTGAGCTGTTCGATCCGAGCGATCGAAATTCCGACGTCTGCAGATGGATCGCCGGCATGGAGATCTACTTCGCAGCCGTCGGATGGAGCTCGCTAGTCTGGGGCGGACAACGCGTACGACTCGCGGCGACACTGATGCAAGGGCCGGCACTCGAGTGGATCGGCGGTAACAGCACCTTCATCCATGGCGAAGCCACGTGGCAGCAGTTCCGCACCGATCTGCTGAAACGCTTCGAGCCGATAAATTCGGGTTTCCTTGCCCGGGAAAAAAATCATCGCTATCGACAGTTCGGGAGTGTAGCGCAGTACACGCAGCAGATGGAGGAATTTTATAACCGCATTCCCGACCTGACCGAAGGGGAAAAAGTACAATCGTACCTCGCCGGGCTGAAGACCGAAGTCAAACGACAAGTGGCAACGACAAACTACGCGAGCTACAGTGATGTCGTATCGGCCGCGGAACGCTTCGACATGGTCAACGCCGGGACACGACGGACGCACGTCGGCAGTACGCGACAGGGCGATTGCTCGGCTCACCCCACGTTCGCCGACCCGATGGAAGTCGACAGGTTTGAAGGGCGGCCACATCCGAAAAACACCAACTTCACGTGTGATTTTTGCGGGGTTCCAGGTCATCGAATCTTCCATTGCAACAAAATGAAAGCCACACGCGCTGAGTATCGGGCACGCAACAGTGGCGGAAATCCTTTGGCCAATCAGAAGCCAAAAAAACGGGACTCGCCAGTTATTGCGGATCTAGCTGGCGAAAAAGAAAAGATCCGAAAGCGGCCGCGGACTTCCGGAAAAATCAATTTCGACGCAGCTGATTCGACGCGAACATGAGAAAATGATGGGGAAAAATCTCCACCCCACGACTAGTCTTCGCCAGAGGAAATCGCCGAGGAAAAATCTAACTTCGCAAAAAAGGACTCTGCCAAGACGGGGAAACTCCTTGAAGACCCAAGAAATTATAAGGATTCGTTAAAGTTATCTTATAAAGATGCTTTAATGAAAACTTGTAATTCTCTAGGGGCTAGAGCCTTGGAGAAAATTCGGGAGCGACTCCAGAAGAAGCAGAAAATTGTGGAGATCGTATCGGTACCGGAGAACTTGGGGACCAAATTAAGGAGTGTGGAAAGAAGCCGACCTTTCCACGGAGTCAACGTCCTCTCCCGACACCAGCCCACAGCGACTACCCGCTCCTCAGGGAAGACGTCGGTGCAGCTGAAGCAGCTCAAGAGGAAACTGTGGGTCTACAAGAAGCTGCAAAAACCCCGAACTCCTCCTTCGGATACATCCAACTCGGCAACTTCGTCAAGGACACGAACAGTCATCACGGAAACTCCGGGCCCTGGAGAAGAGCCTTTCTCCAAGCAGCCTCGGCCAGCTACCAGCTCATGAGTAGGAAGCAACGAATATTGGGATGTACCCTATGACCCAATCAATGAAACTATCTTTGGGTACTTCGAGCAACGCCTGCGCTTCGTGCTTGATGTCATCTGCAAAGGACGACGCCTTCAAGCACTCGTATGCGACAAGGCAACCATTGACCGACTTCGAGAAGAGTACAAGCCATCAGCGTTTTCTGCAACGATGGTGGATGGCAGCAAGTTACTAGTGTACGGCGAAGCAGTGCTACACCTACAAATCGGTCCACTGTGCTGGAAACCTGCTCTCCCCATCACCAACATAAAAGGGCTTGACCTGATCTTCGGGCGAGACTTCCTCAAGAAATTCAACCCCGAGATCAATTGGGTAAACCGCACCGCAAGCATCTACAACAAAGGAAGGAGAGTCCAGCTACCCAACTGGGACGATACAGGAGATATGCCAGTGGAGACACTCGCCAGATTCGAGAAGGACGTCAAGCAAACCAATACCGGGTTCCTGGCGATAGCAACAGAAGTGGAGAATGACGGAGAGAAAGCCTCGGAACCTCCAGACAAAATCAAGGACTTACTGAAGGAGTTCCAAGACATTCTTCCCAACGACCTCCCGGACGAGCTACCGCCATACCGAACGCACCAACATGAGATCGTGGAGGAACCAGGTTCGAAACCGACCTTCCGAGCACCATATCGGCTAAGCCCCACAGAACTAGCCGACATAAAGAAGCAGATCGAGTATCTCCTTGCCAAAGGACTCATCCGACCATCCACTTCGCCATACGGTGCCCCAGTACTCTTCACACCGAAACCGGACGGAAGCCTGCGCATGTGCATCGATTACCGAGCTCTCAACAAGCAGACCATAAAAAACGAATACCCGATTCCACGAATCAATGGCCTGCTTGACCAACTTCGGGGAGCCACGGTATTTTCAAAACTAGATCTGCGGTCCGGTTACTGGCAGATACGAATGGCGGACAACTCCATCCACAAAACAGCTTTTCGAACTCGGTACGGATCGTACGAGTATCTGGTAATGCCGTTCGGACTCACCAACGCACCTGCAATATTCCAAGCAGAGATGAATCATATCCTACGCCCACTCTTGGACAAATGCGTGGTGGTGTACCTGGACGACATTCTCGTCTACTCGCACGATATGCAACAATACGTCGAGCACCTACGCCGCGTCTTCGAAATTCTTCGACGAGAACGCTTCTACGTCAAACTATCCAAGAGCGACTTTGCCCTTGAGAAAGTCCAATTCCTCGGACATATCGTAAGCGCTCAAGGAGTTCACGTCGACCCCAAGAAAATCAAAGCCGTGCGTACGTGGAAGACACCCGAGAACGTGAAGGAGTTACAGCAGTTCCTAGGCTTCGCTAACTACTACAACAGGTTCGTGCCACAATACGCGAAGATCGCCGCGCCACTCACGAATCTGCTAAAGAAGAACACGCCCTATAAGTGGGAGACAAAACACCAGGAAGCCGTGGAGCAGCTGAAATAAGCACTCACGTCCGGACCCGTACTCATCTTGCCAGACCCCGAATGCGACTACGTCATCGAAGCTGACGCCAGCGACCAGGCACTGGGAGCAGTTTTGATGCAAGACCAGGGGAATGGACTGCAACCAATCGCCTACCACAGCAAAAAATTACATGGAGCAGAACTCATCTACCCAATACACGACAAGGAGGCCCTTGCCATCATCATCGCCTTCAAAACGTGGAGATGTTATCTCGAAGGACGAAGAACAACCATCAACACCGACCATTGCAGGCTAAAATATTTGAAGACACAACCAAGCCTCTCCAGGCGGCAGGTCCGGTGGATTGACTTCCTCGAGACACACTTCCACTACGACATCGTGTACAAGCCCGGCCACAAAAATAAAGCAGACGCCCTTAGCCGGCCTGCACACGTTGCCGCTACCCAAGTTGAACGGATAAATCCACTCCTCAAGGGACTCTTCACACACGGGTACACCATCGACCCCGAAATTCCCTTGGCAGAAATGCGACATCTGCTACAGTGGGACAATGACATCGTGTAACGGAAAGGATCAACGAAGATCTGGGTACCCAATTACCCTCCATTGCACCCCTTACTACTCGAAGAATACCACGACATCCTGTACGCGGGACACTTCGGTAGCAACAAGACGCTCACCGGTATCGCCAAACAATACTACATGCCCCACATGGCAGATGACGTACAGAAATTCGTCACCTCGTGCACTACATCTCAGCGGATGAAGAGCAGCAAGTAGAAAAAAACAGGTCTGCTACAGCCTCTTCCTGTCCCAGAACAGCCATGGCAAGTGGTCAGCCTAGACTTCATCACCGGGCTACCAACTACCACAAGCGGTCATGACGCGATCCTCGTCCTCATTGACAAGTTCTCCAAAACGGGACACTTCATCCCGACACACACCACAGCACGCACCGAGGAGACAGCACAACTCTTTGTTCGCTACATCATCTCACAACATGGCATTCCGACCACACTCATCTCCGACCGAGACCCTAAGTTCACCAGCAAGTTCTGGAAAGAACTGATGTCTCTACTCGGGACCAAACTCGCTATGTCATCCGACTACCATCCACAGACAGATGGACAGACCGAGGGCCTCAACCAAATTGTGGAGCAACTCCTCCGCGCAGCCTGCAAGGACGACATCTCCAAAAGGGACTTGCATCTGCCCGTCCTGGAGTTTGCCTACAACAATGCTACTCACGCCGCTACTGGACAAACGCCGTTCTTCCTCTGCTACGGACGCCATCCACTCACACCACAGAAACCGACAACATCCGCTACAGTTCAACCTGCACATGATTTCATCACAACCATGCATCAGCTTTGGGATCAGACCCACAAGCACCTCATCGACATTCAGCAGCAACAGAAGCGCCAGGCCGATTGCCACCACACAGACCACCACATCACCGTGGGAGACCGAGTACTTCTCGACACGCGCAATCTTGACATCAGCCATCTCCCATCCAAACTGCGACCTCGCTTCTGTAGGCCCTTTCTCGTTGAAGCACAGGTCACCCCTGTTACCTTCCGCTTATGCCTACCAGCTACCTGGAAGATTCACAATGCTTTCCATGTCCAACTTCTGAAGCCCTATCGTGATCCCAACACGATCTTTGTCAGACGTCAACCGCCGCCGCCGCCGCCACCCGTCCTCATCCAGAATGAACCCGAGTACGAGGTCGAGTCCGTGCTTGCACACCGCCATCGTCGGAATGGCACCGTGGAGCTTCTCATTCGTTGGAAGGGTTATGATCCTTCTGAGGACAGCTGGGTACCTGAGTCCGACATGGGTAACGCCCGTCGTCCTCTGTATGACTACCTTGTCAAGCAGGGTGTTACTTCTACCACCCAACTTTGAGGGGGGGGGAAGTGTGAGAGTACGACCCCATTACACCACTGGTTCCTTTCCCTATTTCCTTTCTATTCCATTCCTCTTTTTATCTCATCTCATTTGGTTTCCTATTCTCCATTTTCCATTATCCTTTGGTTTATCCTGTTATTATCATTCTATCACCGACCAGGCTCGGGTTGTACTGGTACGCTATATCTAGCGTAATCCTGCCATAATCCCTTAAAGCCAATAGCCTCGCGTGGCTATACGCAGGGTGATTCTATTTTCTAAAAGGGTCTATTCCCTTAGGATAGGATAAACCTGGTTACCTGATGTACTTTGGAAGTATAAAAGCGCCTTGTATCAATCGATTGTGGAACCTTTCCTCGACACATTCGATCCTGTGACACACACTATGCAATCTGTTGTTGTCGATTTATGACAACATATCATGCCTAAATCACAATGTCTATCTAATGCAATGGATTTTTAAGCCCATTTATTTCCATCACTGTATAATCCAGAGGCCAGACTACTAGTGCTGCCCTGGATTGCTGTATCTTGTTAGGCTCTACCCCTACTCAGACAGGGGGTGTATTAGAGTTAAAAAAATTGTATATGCAAGGTATTTATATGAACTATAGACTAGCTAGGTGCAATTTATACAAGGTACAACACTTAGACACAAAACCCTGTTGTTGCCCTAGTAAACTTTTCTCTCGCGATACCTAGCCCTCGCCTCCGAGCCTGGGCTACACGCGCTCCATCGTCCCTAGCCTAAACAGTGTCACAATGCGCCCCCGCAAACGAGTGAGGTTTTTGTTGTGCACCTGAAGATGAATTTTAAACAAGTACCGTATTTATTCGATTGATGTACCCTAGGGTTTTATCCTGTATGGTTGTCAAATGTATCTTACCGCATATCCAGCTAATGCACGATTCAGATACGCGGATGTTTTTCGCGGTGCGTCCATTTATCATCTGGCCAATTCCTCGAGCAAAATGTGCTTGTATATATTTTTGGTGGTACCAGCCATAAGCTTGCAATTTAATGCGCACGACATGCCTTGTCATACCTTCCTCACGCAGGGTTACTGTCCTCTTCGCATAACACCATACCCCTGAGCTGAACGTATTGCAACAAAATGATCATTTTGTGCGAAATGAATTAAAACCACAGAGTGTTGTCCTGAGGGTGCTAGATTGGTTTTTAGGCATCCTGATCCGCCATAATCCCCCCCGCGGAAGAGCCTGATTTTTTAGGGTCCCCTAAAATAAAAAGTACGAGCAATTAGGATTAGCTCTAATTGGTGGGGATGAGGGGAATCATAAAGCCCCAAGGCAAACACACATCGGGACCTAGATTTTGGCCAAGGGCCAGCAAGTTCCCTCACACAGCCCCTAGCACAGATCGAGCCGAGCCATAGAGTTGGCCAAGGGTCAATCAGCGCCCTCACACAATCTAGAGGGGGGCCAAAACCTTGGAAATCTCGACTGCCCCCCAATCACACTTTTGGCAGAATCGGGGGACTACCCGCTGCGATGCTCAGATTCAGGATCCGCTAAGAAAACTTTGCTGAGCAATCAGAGTCGACCCTTGAAAAAGGCCTTAAAAATCAGGACACGTTATTACTTTAATCCTGCACAATCAAAGCTAGTACCAGCAAACACCCTTTCCTAACTTCTGGGGGCCTTGTCAGACCCGTCCTGTCACATTTTTCTGGCTTACATGTCGCACCGTGCTTCCTTGACGATTAATGCTTCCGATGAAAATTATTATTTCTTAGCTTAGCTGGCGTGCCGTAAACCTGTTGGCTCGCGAATTTCATCTTAGTGGCTCGTAAAGTCCCGAATGTTTTTGCGAGCGTGATCTTTCAGCGATTCTTGCTCGTAAACTGAAAATCCCAGGCGTGCCGTGTCCTACGTTTCATATTTCGGATATTTGTGCATGTACACTAAGTTATAGTGGCTGGTCATACACATCATTGTGCTCTTGTCCAGATTGTGTGTGAAACACGGATGTATGCAACCGGCATCATGTATATTAGGAGGAAAGTTATAAGTCCCTGGGCTTCTTAAGGTGTTTTCTTAAAACCATGTACTTGGGTGGTATGTTGTGTTCCATTATCTGAATTTACTCATTTTACAATGTCGCTCGGCTCCTCAAGCCTGAAAACACCTCGCGCTTCGACCCCTTCACCATGCTTGACCAAGTTGATGGCACAGGTTCCTGCTGCACACCCCTTGATAGCCACACCAGCATGCTCCACATGGCGCGAAACCAGGGGTGAAATGAAGGGAGCATTCACCTCGTACTCGCAGCACCTCAGCTCATCACTCGCGGCGCGTTCCTTGCCCATTTTTTAGTAAGAAGACCCTCCAGGTAAGACCACAGGGGGTCTTATCCTGGCACGGACTAAAAGTAGGGTCTTGCAGTGTGCAGTATCTTGGATAAGGCCCCTTGTCCGTAAGTTAAAGCCCGCAGCCCAAATCGCTCAAACACAGTGTGTTTGGAAGCTTGGGATGGGCTCTGCGAAGTCATGTACAAAAGTTTCGCCATAATCATTTATCGTAAACTGAAGGCAGATTGGTGGATCCAAAACGCCAATTAGATACTGGCACATTTGAAACAATGAAAATGCGATTCGATTCTGCGGAATGGATGCGCCGGCTGTCCGCTGGTCAGCCGCCAGCCAGCCGCCAGTTGCCCACCACCGCCACCAGCCAGCCGCGAGCCGCCACCAGCCAGCCGCCATTCGCCAGCCGTCAGCTGCTAGCCGCCAGCCGCCAGCCGCTTGCAGGCAGTCGCCATCTGCCAGTGGCCAGCTGCCAGCTGCCAACCGCTCACTGGCGAGGATATAATGTATTTCATAGGCATATAACGTATTAGATCAAATTATAAACCATGCATTTATACATATAATTTCGAGGCTGAACAACAACGAATAAGCAAAACATCAAATTGATAAGAGTTCCATTTGTAGTGTTCACATACAATGTTAACACTACAGGTAAAATATTAGATCCATGTACGATCTTGTTAAATATGAATGTGACTCCCCTACGGGTGTGTCACATTGGGCAGCACCGACAAATACCAACCCCTCAGGACTGGTACTAGCCCATCACTTTGGGACCGGTCCCGGGCACGGTCCCAAAGGAGGGTGTCTCGGAAAATCATGAAACGCGGAAACCACCTACGCGGAGAAGCCGTTTGCTGGCATAGAAATTTCGCTGATTGCTGTCACAAAACTGACGATCATTGCCCAAGTTGCTAGCCGAATTAGGGGCCGGCACTCAAATGGCAAACCCCATTTTTTGTTGTCACATTTCGTTAGGAGTCGCGATTTGGGCACGTTTCGATTGTACTACCTCGTCCGGGGGTTTTGTGACACGCCCTAATATTGGGGTTCGGTGGGCGAGCCCGGCCTTCGAACCATGCTGCTCGCATTTGTCCGCATCCTAAGAACTTCCCCAAACTCACATCGTAGGTTCGTCAGGGGGAAATGCATGGGGGAGGGGGATATGTTTAAGGGTCAAAAATCGCCAGCAAACATTGTAAGAAATAGAGTTGAAATGATTGATTAGGTAAGGAGCCCAAGGCTCTATAAGTACATGGCAAGGTGAGAGAGAATGGATGAAGGGGGGAATTGGAGGGAATCCCCATGGGGATCTCCAGAATTTCCAATTGGGTAATTGGAGATTGGGGGGATCACAATTGGGTGAGGTTGGGATTTGTGAGTACACCCCAACCCACTAGAACATTCATAACCTAAACTAGGATATAAAAGTACAAATATAAAAGTGGTATTTGCAGTCTATTTCTAACACACCCCCATAGACTGCAAACCCGGTCTAAGGAGGACATAACCCCATGGAACGGAGAAGGCGATGGTGGTCAGCCTTGCCGAGAGCCTTGGTAAAGAGGTCGGCGAGGTTGCAATCTGAGGCAATATACCGTACCGTCAGCTGGTCACTCTGAACAAGATCTCGGATGAAGAAATGACGAAGTTCGATGTGCTTGGTGCGAGAGTGGAACACAGGATCCTTGGTGAGGTGAATGGCACTCTGGTTGTCACACCACAGGGTGGGCGACTGCTGGGGGTAGCCTAACTCAGCGAGGAGAAAGGAGAGCCAGCGTGCCTCTTGAGCAGCCATTGTGCCTACGTAGAGCTCGGCCTCGCAGGACGACACGGAGACTGCAGAGGACCGAGTGGAGCGCCAACTGATGACTCCGCTACCAAGGGTGAAGCAGTACCCTTGGGAGGAGCGTCTGTCAGTCTGGTCATTGGCCCATGAGGAGTCTGTGTATCCCTCGAGCTTGACTGGAGAGGTACCACCAAGAGTGAGGATGTGAGACTTGGTGGCTTGTAGATAGCGGAGGACCCTCTTGGTTGCAGACCAATGCGAGGCAGTGTAGCGTCCGGGGGAGACGTACCGAGAGAGGACACTAACCGGGTAAGCCAAGTCTGGTCGAGTGCGCATCATGGCATACATGAGTGAACCGACTAGCTCAGGGTACGGGTCCTTGCAGGCGTCAGGAGAAGGAACTGGAGGGGCCGTGAGCTGATGCTGTAGTGGGAGTGGAGTGGAGACAGAGTTACTGGAGTCCATGTCGAACCGCTTGAGAAGGTTGTCGATGTAGGACTCCTGGGAGAGGGTGATCGTGCAAGCCTGGCGGTCACGAGTGATCTCCATCCCCATGTAGTTCTTGAGGTCACCAAGATCCTTCATGAGAAGGGCGGAGCTGAGAGCAGACTGGACTGCTGCCATGTCGGCTGGATCTCTGGCGGCTAGAATGAAGTCGTCAACGTAGACGAGGATGTAGAAGGGCTCGGAGGAGTGACGAACGAAGAGACTGGAATCTGAGGCAGAGGGATGGAAGTCAAGTGCGAGGAGGACTTCCTTCACCTTGTTTTGCCGCTCACGAGGAGCCTGCTTGATGCCATACACTGGGCGCTTCAGCTTCCACACTGTGTTGGCAGGGTAAGTGCCAGGGAACCCCGGTGGGCGTTCCATGTGAACATTCTCCTTGAGCTGGCCTTGGAGAAAGGCGGAGGAGGCGTCCATGGACTTGATCTCGAAGTTGCCGCGAGCGGCTATATCAAGAAGAGCGCGCACAGTCGGGAGCTTGGCCGTGGGCGAGAATGATTCGAAGAAGTCGAGATACTCCTTCTGGGTGAAACCCTTCGCCACGTATCGTGCCTTGAACAGTGGAGCTTCGCCTGGGAGTTGTTTGACTCGGAAGATCCATTTTCCGCCGACGATGTTGACACCGGAAGGGGGAACAACATCGTCAAAGCTGTTGTTGCGAATGAACGCCTCGTTCTCCACATCCGTTG